ATTAAATTGCTTGTAGGTCTTTGGAAAGGTCAGTCAAAGCTTAAGCAACCCCCTGTTGTTTGACAACATCAGAGCTCAAACGCTGTGATTCTGGAGAACTCTGCTCTTTGAAAGAGGGGGATGTTTAATTACCTTTTGAAAGCTGGCAGCAAGACAGGATGCAAGGATGTTTTCTTTCCTTTGTGTCAGTTGAACAAGTTGCTATTTTGGGACATGAGAGAAACTAACCTACTGCACTAGAGGAGACTGTCCCTTCCTCTGGCCTGCTGTTGGGAGAAAAGCAAAGGCAAGAGGATATTAGTGAAGGTGAGCCTGCTGCAGGAAGGAAGCCTTGACACAAGAATGTTTGTGGAAGGGGAGGCAGAAGATCCTGATGCCTTTCTTAACGTTGTTTCAATGTGTCAATTCTATTTTCCTTTAAATATATACTTATTCACTGGTCTTGTTTGGCAGGATTGACATTGGTGCAGTTGCAGGAAATCAACTGCTGTCACTTTAATAAAATTTGCTTTCATCATCAAAGGCACTGGCAAACTGCAGGAGTTTTAATTCTTAAAATTGCATTGCATCTGCTCCCTCCCAGGGGCAGTCTTTCACAGTGCTGGTTTTATGTTCTTCAACTATATATATGGGTTTTTTTCCAATGGTTTGGATTTGTGGCATCTAAACAAGCTAAACAGAAACTGTGCCTCAGGGAGAAACATCCTCTTAAGTAACTGAAAATAAACTTGTATGGCATGCCTTGTGTAATATACAAATTCAGCTGTGCACATGGTGGGAACAGAGCACTAGACATGGTACCTGCCACTGTAGAGAGAACACAAACGTGTGTGTAATGTCATCTTGGGGTAAACATAAAAAAGATGTATAAGAGGAAAAGGGAATTTGGCTTGGGTGTCTCCAGCTAAACCTGTCCAAGAAGCTGAGTATCCATCATTGAATTTCATGTACTGTACATGAAGTAAAAACAAGGGCTTATGCGCTAATTCTCCCTTCCATCAACACAAATTCCAAAGCAGATTTGTCTCACCCAGGACATGCTGCCAGATCAGCAGGCACACCAGCTCAGTGAGCAGGGAAGAATTTGTGCCTACCAAGGGGCAGTAGGGCAAGTGCAGCCTTGTGCAGACTTGGTGCTCTTAGGAAACAAAGCCCTGCCTAGGAACAGAAGTTGATGCTGTAGATGTAGGAGATCTTTATCCTTGGTGGGATATAAACAACACCAGTGTGGAAGAGTCACATCTAGATTTGATGTAGGCATGAGTTTATCTCTTTATAATGGGCAAAATATACAGTCCTTCTTTACTCTCTTCTTCAGCTGTGTATTGGTTTTGTCTGGGAAAGAGTTAATTTTGTTCATAGTAGCTTGGGTGGTGTTCTGTTGTGGATTTGTTGTGGTGAAAGGGGTTGAAAACACAGGGGTTTTTTACTTATTGCTGTGCTAGCTTGCACAGCATCAGGGCCTTTTCTGTTCTGCCTTCTGACCCAACAACGAGGAAGCTGGGAAAAGACACAGCCAGGACTGCTGACCCCAGCTGGCCAAAGGGAGATCCCAGTACCACACAGCACCATGCCCAATGACAAGGTCTTGCAGGAAAGGAAGAAGGTGGGGGGGAAATTTTGAGCTATGGCATTTGCTTTCCCATGTAATCATTATGTGTGACAGAGCCCTGCTCTTCAAGAGATGGCTGATGGGAAGTAGTGATTTAATTTCTTATTTTGCTTTGCTTGTGGACACAGCTTTTGCTTTCCCTAGTAAATTGTTTTTATCTCAACCCATGAGGTTTTGCCCTTTTACCCTTCTGATGTGCTTCCCCATTCCACAGTGGCTGTGTGGGGCTGAGCTGGGTTTAAACCACAAGAAGCTGGTAGACCACAATGGTCACTGGCCTTTGCTAACCTTCTGGAGATCTATTTACACAGGTAGCCCAGAGCTCTTGTGCCTTCAGTAGCCATTGTCTCTGGTGCTAATGGTTAGCTTTGCTGTGGCCAGGCAAAGCAAATGATTAAGGGTTTAAGCAATAATAAGAAAGGCCAGCCATGCATCAGCTGTTCGTCATCCTTCGCTGCACTGTACACATGCGATGACCAGTCTCAGAAGCCTCAGGCATGATAGGTCTTGGCAGGCTGGACATAGCCACACCTCAGCTGGGCTCCAAGGGCAGCCTGGAAACCCCTGCCCAAACAGCTGCTCATTAGGCCTGGAGGTGCTGAGTGTTCTTACTGAAAACTGTTCTGCTGACGGTCATGTTGGCTGGTGTGAAGGACTGGGTGGTTGGGCACTGCATATCCCTGAACTGGAAATGTGGCATTTGTGATACTTGGGTGATTAGTTTTAATGCCACGTATTAGGCAGAGGAATATTGGCTAAGACAGGTAAGCAGTGCTAATTACATGCTGAAAGAATGCCGCAATCCTAATAGGCGGAAGCAGGCACGTGTTGTATCTCAAATCTGTCGTTGCTGCTCAGTGCTAGTGCAGATTGATCCTTTCTGGTACTGTGCAGCTTTGGCCTCACTCACCTGTGACAATGCAGCTCTCTTCATGTCCTCTGCAAATGTCACTGACAATGAAAAGAAAAATCTCAACATCTGACTATATATATTGGAATCCATATCAGGAGGTGGTGTAATTATGAAAGAGGTGTTGTCCTGTAGTATTTAAAGCATTCTGTGTAACACCTATTCTGGGTGTTACACACCAGTCTTCTATAAATCCCCACCCATTTTCCTCATCAGCTCAAGCCTAGCTGAACAGGAAGGTTTGCATGTTGATTACCCTGTGAACAACAATATAACCCTTGCCCCATCCTTGTTGGAAATTCTTGCATTATAATTTGTTTCTGACAAAATGAACATGTAACAAAAGTATTTTTTGCTTTGCCATGCACACTAGCAATTTTGTGATGACCATGTTTGACAACTAATTGGCCTCTAACCAAAAGTGAAAACAATAGACACCTATTTTCAGCTGGGAAATCCATACTCGGTATGTTCCCTGGCCAAGATAAAGCACTGAAGCAGTGTGACGCAAAGTGCTCAAAGCTCCCTCCATGGCTTTTCTTTTTTTAACAGATCTGCTGATGAATTTGCCTTTTTGTCTCATATGTCTCCTCTCTTCTAGGGAATTGACTATTGACTGAAAGTATGTTTTCTTATAGTTAGGTTTTTCTTTTGCACTAGAGCGAGTGCCTAAGTGCATGTTGCTTCTTGAGAACAGGCATGCAGCTGTGCGTATTACTAAAGGAGGTGTACTCCAGACTTGTTGAGAGGTTGGGAAGTCCTGGCATGGTGAAAAAATGTTGTTTGCTAAACTGGAAATGAAACCTTAGAAAAATGTTTGACATGGCTCTAGTTATTGTTTCCTTGGTGCATACTGTTGCTATGTTTAATATGTGGAAACTGGTGAGAATAAATCAGATTGCTAGACTGATTACTGATACTTGAAATGTTAGCTGCTCCAGCTGACAGAGGAATGGTAACATATCTTTACATATGCCAGTGGCTAAAAGAGAACAGTCATTCAACCTCTGAACACTTGCAGAGATGTTTTCAAAACGTACTTCTCAGACATGACTAAAGTTGGAAAAGATTTTTCAAAATCTCTATTAGAGGAATAAAAATACATATGCTTATTCTACATTAGAATACTTTACAGTCTTCAAGTTTAACTATTCTTTGTAAATGTGGCAGTTTCTATTTAACTATTTTGTTCTATTAAACTATTCTATATAGTTTCTATTAAGCAATTCAGGCATGATGTTTAAGTACAGAAAGAAAAAAAAACCCAACAAAATCAAAGTAGTTCCTGTTCCAAAACATCTTTTACAATATCTATATGTTCTTGAATTTCAGTTTCTTTCCTTAGTAGAACAGTCCTGGTAGGTAATTTTTTCCCCTTTGCCCTCTCTTTGTCTTCCCCAGGGGTAGCAGCACACAAAACAGATTACTTTAAGATCTTCAAGCTCCAAAGGTTCTAGGAGTACTCCTAGCCATGGGTCTCTTGGTGATATACCAGCATCTTTCTGAGAAGGAGGTATAGCAGAAGAGAAGGAGCTGGATGGATCCCACTGCTCCTGGCTCCCTGGCAGGTGGGGAGAGCATGCACTGTCCCTGCATCCAGCTGTTTAGGATTGTTTATCTTGCACTCCTGATGTTTTGTTTAGTCAGTGATGATGCATAAGATACAACTTGTTTTGACTTCCAGGTAGACGAAGTCCATGAAGCAAACATTTGTTGCTGGCAGAATGCTAAATAAACAGTAGCAACACCTACCTGTGTGGGTGGCAATTAATCACATCAATCAACCAGATCAGCTAGCGAAGCTTTTTTTTTTAACTTCTCTTTCCTTTTGCTCCTTGTCTCCTCCCACCTTCTTCTTTCCTGGTCGTCGCTCCGGCTGGCAGTAGAGCTGGGTTATGTAAACCCTGTGACACCTCTTCTCTGGTGGCCTGACCATTTAATGCTCTCAGCCCAGTTTAGCAGGGGACACTCAGCCTACCTTTGAGCATGGATTTCTTCTCTTTTTGTTATTCTCAGAGAACTGAGCCTAAACTACTGCCTGTGGGCCCGTAGACTTATATGTGCTATACCCATTTGAACAGCCCTCCTGGAAATTTTTGAACTTGTTGTTAAATTTGATGGAGCAATAGAATTTTCAAAGTTTCTACATCTTTTCTAAAATAAATGTTCAGAGGGAAAAGTAAGTTAGTCACAGGGAAAAGTACAATTGCATTTTTATTAGGCACCTGTAATAAACATGGAAGAAGACTTTCTGAGACATGGGACCATGGGAAAACCAGCCTTCAAAGCCTGGATAGGCACCAGTGGTAACTGCTTTAGACACACAAGTCTGCAGTTTTGTTTTCCAGGCATTTTTTGCCTTTTTGTTTTAATAGAAATGGGATGGCAATTTTTTATCATAGCTAAAAAGCATTTTTTTCTTAAAATTGGAGGAATATTTTCTGAGTATTCCATCTTGTATTTTCTTTTTCATACTAGGTTTTAGGCAAAGACTTACCAGTGTGAAGTGTTGGAGATTACAGGGACTGGCGCTTGCAGAAACATGAAGAATCCAAGCCAGTAAGTGTAGTGACTGTGGCAGCTGATAAAGAAAAGGTGACCCATTGGTGGAACTTTAAATTTCTTTACTCACAAGACTCTGGTTTTCCTAGAAGGTGAAAGCATTGAATAAAAAGAATATTTATTTATTGATGGATTGTTATTATAAAATGCCTGAATATTTTATGTGGAGGGAATGATTACATGTTAAAAAAATCTCAAGACCAGGACAGGGCCCAGTTTTCCTTTCCACATATACTATTTCAGGTTCCTTCATTTTTTACCTCATAATGGGATCCTGTTTTTTGTCACAATATCTATGTTGCCATTTTTCCTGAAGCTGAATTCAACCCATTACTGGAATCAAGAATTTGTCTGTGCATGATCTGGTGGGATCAAGCTTTCTGTTCAGAAACCTTTCCTCTAGCACTGAATCCACTTGTATGTTTTACACCTCATGGAAGAGCATCCTGACAGGACTGGCATTTGGAGAAAATAAAGTAAATAGTGTAAAAATATCCTCTTGAAGCTGTGCTCTCTTACACAAAAGAATGGCTGTGCCATGCCAGACTAAGTTTTCTTCTATCCCTGAATCCTGTCTCCAAAGGTTTTAAACGTGGATGTCTAAGGAAATAGTGTATGGAGAGGGCAAGTAGCAGTGATGTGCTTCCAGCCTCCTGTGATTTGTGGTTGTGAGATTTCTGAATCAAAGTTTGAGTCTTTGTATAGTTATACAAAGCTATGAAAAATTCCAGCTGTAAAGGAATACCTGTTTTCATAATAAAATGTTAATTAATTATCCCTGAAATTCTCCTGTGCTTGCCAGGGAAGAGCAGTTTTATCTCCCTGGTGGTGGTAATCAATTACCACAGAATAGGCTAAGACATAGGAGAACAAGAAAAAAAAACAAAAACATGCAGGAAATGTGCAGGTAGGAAATTTTTGCCACTGTCTGCAGCTGGGCAGATAACAGTTTATTTCCATACAGACTACAAGTTCTGAGCAGTAGTAGCTTGCATCTTTTGCATAAGCTTAGACCGGTTTTACAGTCAGCCTGATTTGTGGGTACTCAGAGAATGTAAAATCGTGGCATTATGTGGCCTTTGTGTGAAGCTGAAGGACATAAAGAGCTTCTCTTGGTGGTTCAAGCTCATAAGAACCTCATGTTTAGATATTTAGGCTGCAAGGTTTGAGGTGCAAGTTCCCATCTGGTATGCAGCCAAGGGAGGGTTTCAGGCTACCCTAATCTTCATGCAGTTGGTAATACACAGGTTGTCTTGAGGGGCAGCAGAAATTGTTTCTCAATAGCTCACAGGCTATTTTTGAAACCTAATCCATTTAATTTCTTTAATGGCTTAGGCAGCAATTGACACTGTGGAACACCGTGGACTTGCAACACAGTGTGCACCAGCTTTTAGTATATTAAATAGCTCATTTTAATTCTATCCTAAAATGGAATCCTTTGCATCTTTCATGTTCATTACATAAGAAACAACCATAAACCATGACCTTAGTCCTTGACACTAGTGGAAAGCATGTTGAATAAATAGCTCTCTTCATTGTGGTCCTTGGCAATAACAGGTTTAATTTAGTGAATTTAGAGTTTAAGTTTATTCCTGTATAAGTTATAGGAAAGGCTGCATGTTTCTCAAAGCCTTAAAACTTCACTACAAAAAAAGAATTTCCTATATTAGAATAGCTGATTCAAAGCATAGGAACCTCTTTGTCTACTGTATAGATTTTATAGTAGATCTAGGTAATGCTCAAGGGACAAATAATATGGTTGGACAAAGAGTTATGAAGTAATAAAGAATAAAAGTATGACATTCCAGATTTTAATTTCTTCAGTGCTTTGTTAAAATGTCAGTGTTTATTCCAGTAATTTTTAAAATTTCAGTAATTTATTGTTCCATATCAAATATCTAGCTCCACTTTAATGGCAGTGGCTTAAACATTCAGCATATTTTAGTATCATTTGGCTAACCAGAGTTTAAGTTAAAAAAAACAAACCCAAACCAACCAACCAACAACAAAAAAACCCACAAAAATGAAAAAAACCTCCTAGAAGCCAGTCTTACAAATAACTCCAATCACACAGGGGCAAAGCAGCTGGTTTGAAGGAGTATTGCATCCGTGTTTGGTAAAACACTTGCTGTCTAGGACTTGGTAACAGCAAGATTTATAAAAACACCTGCATGACAATGCTTTAGCAGATTTTGTCCAACAGCCCTGCAGTCTCCTTGCTTTGAAGTGGAAGGCTACCAGAGGCTGACGGTGGTCAAGTTGGACAGGTCAGCCTGCCTACTGCTGATTGCAGTTTCTTTCAAATACTTCAGGCTGTCATCTCCCTTTGTGCTCTTCACATCTATGTACTTTTTAAGGTCATTTGTCAGCTAGAGAATTTAGAATCTCATGTCTGGAACACAGCACATTGGGCTGCCATACTGCTGAACTAGCTTTTTTTAATACCCCTTTTTCTCTCTCCAGATTAGATGACGTTGCTTCCATTAAAAGGTTGATTCATGTCTGTGATTGACAGGAAGGTGAACAAGAGATTTGAAAGCTTCAGAGCAGAAATCCCTTTACTAAATCAGGCATGTTCTGCTTTTTACAAAATTAGCTCCTCCGGTTCTAGCAGGGATTAACATTTTTGTAACTCAGAAGATGGTATGCGAAAAAGAGAAATTCTTTATGGTGCATTCTTAAGGTTTAGCAGTTCCAAACTAGATGATGCCATTATTTGCTTAGAAGGAAAACACTTGCATATCTGACCTTAGTGAAGTATTTTTACTATGTTCAACTGTTGAAACATAAGATCAGAACCTAACTACATAAGTGGTAAAATGGCTAGCATTTATGTCTTCTACCAGTTAAGTACTACTTGTGAATTCTTTAACAATTTTTTCTCACTTAAATTCCAATAGTTCAGTGAATTTTCACGTCAGGGTTTTGTCCACTGATGTAGCAGCAGTATTTCTATAGGAATGTAAATGTGTTTTGCTTATGTAAGCAACAGTGTAAGGACAGTGTAAGGCTAAGGGGGTGCAGCTTGGTCCGAATAACCAGTGAGAAATGTGCTGCTTTTTTTCTCTCTCCTCTTTCTCACCTTGTCCTCCAGCACATCCCAGCAGAAGTGACATTCCTTATACAATCTCCACTTCTTGACAAGATGTAGGGCAGAAGTTTAATGCATATCTGGAGTCCCTTTAGGAGAAATTATTTTTAAGTGATGAAGCTCTACCAACCACACAGCTGAGGAGCAAGAATCTTTTTAGTCTATCTGTCTCTTTCTTTGCAGACTTGTAGAGAATCCTTAAGTCCATTCAGAGACCAAAGGGAGCACACTGTTGCTGGAAAAAGAGAGGAGGTTCAATGACAAGGGGCTTCATGGTGCTGTGATTCTGTATGAACATAAAGGTAAGCATCATCTTGGCATTACCCTTGAGTTTTTGTGTTCCCTGTTTGATCCTTTTTTTTCTAGAACAGAGAAGGAGGAATATGCCCTCAAACAGCAGCACTCACAGTAAAGCGTATCTCCCTAAACTCCTTGTCTCCTGCCCACCATTTATTTATTTTCTGCTTGAAATGCTCACACTTCTCTTTCTAGTGCATGTTTATGTTTAGAGGGTGACATTTCATTGTGCCTTATATTTAATAATTTTCTCTCTAAATGGGTGCAAGATAACTTGTATAGGAACACTATTTCTGTTGTTTTGTTATTTATGTTTTTTTACACAAATAAATGTGGGAATCAGTTTTTGAAAAGGTTGTTTTCAATTTTTTCTTTCTCAATGTATTTTTAGGCCTTGATTTTAAAAATACCCCGGTATTGCTTTCAGAATTTTTATTGCTCTCTCTTCCATGCAACAGTCACTCATGTGGACAAGTTTTCTCTGCTTTTCCAAGTTCTCTTGATCTTCAAGAAAGATGGAACAAGTAGTGGAGTAACAAGGAGTTAGTTTGTAATGTTTGCAGATGAGAAGTAAATGAGGAATTTCTGGTGCCTGATATTTGAGAAGGAATTGTGAGAATTCATTATCTCTCTGATAGAAAGGTACTCTGGTTAGGTTTCACCATGGGCACAAACTTCAAGGCTTAGTTTTATTATCTGTAACTGTTTTGATCTAATTGCTGAGAAAATACAGGGAAGATTTCTAATGACACAAACCCAAGGAAATATATCACTGAAATAAGAACATCAAGATTTCCATTTAGTCTGAAATGCCACCCAAAGATGCTTTTCCAAAGACTTTCTGGTTCTGTCTTGGAAACCTTACAAGCTTTTGTTTCCCCTCGGGACTTCTAGAATTTCCCTGTTTAGACTGGAGGGTCTCTGAAGCGGAGGCTGTTTTGATAAACTGTGTGTACAGCACCTTACACAATGGACCTCTGATCACAGCCTGCATCTCCACGTTATGGCAATGCAAATAAATATATGAACAACTGTCCCTTGAACAGGAAGGAAAATAAAAATCGGATTCCCCAGTGAGTTGACGCATATATGGTAACCAGCCTCCTATCATAATAATCTTGTATTTGTTGAAATCCAAGATCTAGTAGATGTTCAGCTTTCTTAGCATGGCAGAAGTACTCTCCCATTTTGTTTTATATCCTTGTGCAGAAGTTCTGCTTGTTTGCTTTTTATCCTGTTTTGCCTGACATTAGGGGAGGCTTTGTTTTAGTAGCATTTGTAGCCATCACTTTGATCTACAGCAGGAAGGCTCAAGATCGGCTACTTTGCCCATAGGGAAACAGATCAGAATATGCCAGTTTTAAAAACCTCACTAGATTGGCTCTAGAATAAATAGTTCTTGCTCCTGAGTTAATTGCAAATTACTTCTTTAACAAAAACACTATGTTTTCTACACATGATTATTCATTTGTGAAGGCTGGAGGCTGATTTCTGTTTATTCCTGACACACTTGAGGTTCTTTGTTCCTCGTAAATAAAAGAAATATTGTAGTTTCCGAAGTCTCATTTACTGCAGGTTTTGGTTCTTTCTTGTTTTCTAATGTTCCTCTGTCATAGTTTTTGTTAGCAAAATTATCGCTCTTGACAAGTACTTCCAAAAATGTATTGTTACAGACCAGGGTTTTGTAGTATCAGATTGGGCATGGGTAGGAAAGGTTTCTTTGTTTCAGCAAGCGCTGTGCAACTGCATCAGCAATCGTGACTAAGCTGATTTCAGACCCGCTTCCATCTTTCCTAACAAGGGAGGAAGCAGGATTTATTCAGGGACATTCTGGGTAGCCAAGGAGGAGCAGATGAAGGCCATGCCCGTTCTGTCAGTGTTGTCTGCCACAGCACTTGTGGTGACTGGGCAGAGGAGCGCTGGCAACTGTGCTTTTCCCTCAGTGTTTCGCCTTTGGAGCAAGGTGTGCTCCATCTCCTGTGCCAGGATTTTGCAGTCACAGGAAGGGCTCAAATAAGGGTGTTTCTGTTACTTATAGAGTCTTCTGGTGGGTAAAAACAGTCTGGATGCAAGTCTGAATGTGCTAAACCGCCAGGCTCTTTGGTGGCAGCTGCAAGTGGCTGGATATTGCAGCACACCTTAAGAAAAAGATGACTGTGTATAAAAACTGAGTGTGGTGCCTCAGCCGTATCCCCTGTGCACCTGCCTGTGCTCGGTTGGGCCTGCAAGGCGTTTCCCTGTTTCTACTTGTTTGCACTGGAAATGGGGGGAAAAGTCTGTCCAGGTTCCTGCCCTGCTACACTGTGACTGTTCAAGGCAGCCTGGAGTTTCACATGATTGACAAGAATGGCTGGAGAAGGATCATCCTAAGTGCCAGCTTTCCTCTTCCACATATTTCCTCCTTGCCTCTCCATGTGAAATGAGCATTTTGCAGGAGTACAGAAAATTCTACAGGCTATAAGGACTCAGCCAGTGCTAAGAGTTTTACAGAGATACTTTTTTAACGTTAAAAACAAATTCTCTTTGACCTTTTTCATGCCCTGTTTGTGCTTGTTTGCCACTGGTGTTCATGTTGGTGCAATTTGGGGCTGGGGGGTATAGGAGTGGTCACAGAATAATAATTAAATTGGAGTATTTGCAGCAAGGCTTTTCATTAGCACCAGAGAAGTGGCTGACTATAAGAGAGAACCTTAAGGCATCATGAAAGCAAAACAAAACAGTTATGTCCAGTCAGAACAACTCCAGTTGTGAATTTAGCTTTTAACAATCCTTACAAAGTGTTCAGTCATTATTAACAAAATGATGTAGTAATAATAATTTTGCTTGAATAAATATGAGAACTGTGGAGTAGGTGGCTGACAACAGTAATATCGTCTCTTTTGTATTGTTTTTTCATCAAATGTTATCATATTGTGTATTAGCTGGTTACCAAGAGTTTATGATTATAAACGAAATAGTTTCTTTATCCCATCATAGGAAAAAAAGGAAATTATCCATAATTGTCTTCACAGTTTATGGACTATGTAATGTGAAGTGGTTGAAGCCCTCTAAGACAGTACCCTTTTTCCCCCAAAGCATGTGCAAACGTTTAGATTTTTGTTGTGCTGGGAAACTACAGAACATACCCACGTGAGTTGTTCAGAAGAAGAAATACATCACTTTTCTTTGAAAGTACATTATATTTGCAGGCAAACTTTGTCATGAACAAACATTGTGAAACTTTGGTTTGGGCAGCCATTCAAGAATACCCCAAAACTCTTTTCACTGGGAAAGATTCCTGTAGTTTCTAGACCAATACAGTCTCTCTCAAGAATGAGGGTATTTATGAAGGTAGCTTTAAAAAAAAAAATCTATCTCAAAACTCTAACTGTTCTAATTCAAAAATCCAGAAAGCAAATAAGCTATTAAGGAGCATGCCTGGCAGGTACCAGCGAGTTAGATGGTAGCATGACTTTCACATGAACTTCCTGTAGATAATTCAGCCTTACAGCAAATCCTATAATTCTCTCCTCTTATCCATCTCAAATATTGCAATTATTGCAAATATGACTTGGGCATTTCATGAGGCATTAATCATCTTTATCAGATATTTGGCTTCAGAAATTATTTTGTAATGCTGTTTACTTTGTTACTCAGAGATGAGTTATTGCAGAACAGTAGTGCTGGCCATGGGAAAAGGCTGAAAAGGAGGTGAAAGGCTTTATCCTTTGCATTAAGAAGCAATTGTAGAATGATTATGTGGCTAGGTGTGCACTTTCCAAGGCAGCTATGCCTATTCCTTGCCATCAGACAGTGAATAACGGTTCCATGGTTTGTTGCTACATTTGGTTTTCCATCCGATTCTGCTTTCCACCACAGTCAGGACAATCACAAGGTGTGTCTTCATGGGGAAAAGTAGCACCCATCAGCCATCAGGTGAGCTAAAAAGAAAGGAATACGACTTATAACTTGGACTCTTGTATCCTGTGATGTGTGCATGTGTTGCTTATAAAAAGTGCTGAATCTAAATCCTGGCCTTGACTGGAGGTAGATGCTGTACAAATCCCCATTGTTCAAATCCCAGCCAGGGTGTCTGCCCTGCTTGCAACTGCAAGGTTGCTTAATTGAATTTAATGAGGTTGTCCATGTGCAACACAGTTGGCAGATAGTTGCCAGAAGCATCTGATGAGCTCTCCTGAAATTCTGCGCCATAGGGGCTGGCTTTCACCAGCAGTGGGTCAGGATACCACACAGCTTCTTTGTAGGATAGTGTCACAAAACATTGTTTCCCAGGGAAAAACCAGCCTAACTCTCTACTCCTGGAGCAAATTATTTAGCCAATTTGGAAGAGCTGTCCAGACCTCTCTCCAGATATCCAGATTTAAACTTGCAGTTCAGCATGCTACACAGAGTTAATATCTCCTGCAACGTGTGGGTGGAGTGTCCTCTGATTTTTGCAGTAATTGAGTAGGTGGGCATACTGCAGCCCAGTTGTGTTTAGCATTACTTTTTAAATAAACTTTATGGCTGAGATTTCCAGCAGTGAATTGATCTCTAGGAGAGTGTGGTTTATCCTCCATTGCCACATAGTCCTCCAGCAGTGCATGGAAGCCATGGGCTAGACAGTGAAGCAGAGTCAGCTTCTTCAGCCTGTACTCCTGCCCTGCCCCTGCCCTGCTCTGACTGAGTCTCTGAAAAATTAATTCCCCAGCAATTCCCCCCCAGATGAAAGTGGTACTAAAACGTTAAAAAGAAAAAAGAGCCGTTGTTCCAATCCTCTGGAGATTAGTTATTAACCTATGTGATAGGCACAGGCTAGAAAACATGAGTGTTTTAAGGTTGATGTGTGGTTAAACTGTGAATATGAAGTGGGATGGTTTTGTTTTGTTTTGGTTTTTTTAGGAGGGGGAAAAGTTTTTCGTCTTTTTTTTAATCAATTTTATCTAACCATATTTCAGAGTTTAAGAGCAGCCACAGGGAGATGAGAAGCATATGATCTGAAGTCCTGAATATTTTGTCACCTTAA